GACCTGGTGCCAAGGTTGCCGGGTCAGGCCATTTCTGGCCTGCTCTCCAGGAGAAAATGAAACTCATTTCACAGGCTGTCTTCACTATTCCCTGAATTTTCTCCTGGGAACCTAAGACTTTTCTTCGAAAAAATCAGACCTAGATTTGCAGTCTGCTCTGCCTTCTGGGTCTCTGTGCTCTTAGGCAACTAGAAGGCAGGTGGCCAGGGCCTGGAATTTCAAAGTCCCCTCTACAGATGGCCAGTCAAAGGCTCTGATCAGCCCAGTCTGCTTAGAGGCTGGAGAACATTGTGAGAGCAATTTCCGAAGCCAGGGCTGGGGAGAAAAGGAGTGGCACTTGGCACAGATTTAGTCACCTCTTTGCAGGCTACACGTGGCTCAGGCTGGAAGGATAGCTAAATAGCCTCCATTGGCTCTGAACTCCCTGAGCCCATGAGGTTGCTTTCTTTGTTGGCTCTTCCAAAGAACACAGGGCTGTGTAACATAACTGTGCAAATATACCGGCTGTGAAGGGGGGCCCAGAGTCCCAAAATAGCCTGAGTGTCTTCTGAATTTGCTCTTGTCACCATGTAGGCAGGTACAATCAGGAAAGTGGTTGCCAAAAGATTATATCCAAACTGGCAAAGGATCAAGAGAAATCCTGTGATCTCCACGTCCTTAGCACACTCTTTTGCAGAGTATTGCATGCATGTTCTATTCCACTGAGGTACAGGCCAGTCTCCAGGTCTGGTCAGAGCACACAGCCAATCCAGAGCTGCTGCCAAAGTAAGAGGTCCTATGCCAGATTAGTCCTATCTCAGACCAAAGGTCTTTTCTCACTACATTTGAGACTCCCAGACAGAGAAATTATAAAGACCCTGCTAAAGGCTGAAGACTCTGTCCAAGTTATACAAGTTCTCAGAAGGTCCCCAAATTGGGTGTCCACTGACAGACTCCCCTCAGGAGTGTTGTGGTGATGCAGCTTCAGTGTAATAATGGACCATGGCCAGAGGGTGAGGAGTGGAGCAGCCTGCAGGTTGGCCAGAATGAGTGCTTGTGTGGCTGCCCCACTCCTGTCCTAAGCATTTCCTTGGGGCGGAGGCTCAGCAGTCAGGTCAACTCAGGGATATCTGACTATCTGGTAAGACCACCAGATAGCGGTGGCATGAACTAGCCAAGTGTGAATAGGTCATCTTTCTCTGGGGGCATTGAGCAGACAGACCATTATGGAAACCATGAAGTTAAGGGGGGAAGGAAATGGGCAAAGTGTGTCCTGTTGCTAAGAGACAGAAATTCCAAGGGCCAGATCCAGACTCAAGGACAAAGAGTCAGCAAGATTCTTGATGATGGTTCTTAGCCCACAGAGAGCCCAAGAATCAAATCAATCAGTTTGAAAGAAATTGTATCACCAGAAAATTCTCATGCCTGGGAAATAGGGATCTGGAAATGTATAATCTCTAATGCAATCTTTGGGTCCCCAAATCATGTCCAGAGGAAGAGGGAGACTTCAATTCCAGAAGAGGCATCCCCTCTGGGATGTCCATAAAAGACAATAGATAAAGAATCAAATAAAAGGACCAAGAACAATCAGTTTTGTTGAACAAGAAACTCTCTCCACTGTCTAGAAGGATATGCTGTGTGCTACAGATTAGTGACCATTGTTTTCTCTTCTCCCCTATTCCAAAGGGAAGGTTTTTCTTCTTTAAAACTTGTTATCCTATTTTCTGCCAGTATTTCATATTGCTTATGCAGGGGTAGCTAAATGTATCTTTTAGCCACAGATGACAAAATCATAAGAAGTTATACCCAGACCTGAACAAGAATTGCACAGCACGATGGGACACTGGACTGAAGGTTCAGTAAAGCAGCTGGACATGGTTTTGTTTTGTCTTCCATTGGAAAGTGGGTCTATTTATTTATTTATTTATTTATTTATTTTATTTTTATAGGGGGAGTTAGGAAGAGAGGGATACATTGATATGAGAGAGAAGCATCGATTAGTTGCCTTGTGTATATGCCCTGACCAGGGAACAAACCAGCAACCCAGGCATGTGCCTTGACCGGGAATTGAACTGGCAACCTTTTGGTTTTCAGGACAATGTCCAACAAACTGAGCTGCATGGGCTGGTGCAGTGGGTGTGTTTTGTTATTATTGGGCCTAGGATCATTATTGCATTGTTAGTCAAGCACCCTTGAAATTGATATTTGGCAAGAAAAGTATAGGTGGATGCTGAGCAATAAAGGGGTGGAATACTAAATGCATATGGCTTTCCTGCCTATCATCTCTTCCTTTGGGAACACATTTCTCCCCTTCATGCAGTTTTGGTGAAGTTGTCAATTATAGTGGTTGTCCTTCTACCCTAGAGGTAAGCACATGTCCATTCTGGCCAAAGTTCTTCCTAGGACTTTACAGCTGAAACCAGTGAGGCCAAGCCAAGAGATGGAACATCATCATTTGAACCCCTAGGTCCAGCCATGCCAGAAGGCAGATACATCCTTTGATTTACCACTTATATATGTCAACTAATTTCCTATTGGCTTAAACATATTTGAGTTGGGTTTTCGACACTTGCAGCTGAAAGGGTTCAGACTATTAGATACACACACAACAGAGACAGAAACACCATGTTGTTCAAACTCATTAGACCTTATATATTATTATATGGAATTATTATATGGAAGACTTATGTCTTCCATGATCCTATGGGAGCCAGCAAACTTTTTACCTGAAGGGTCAGATAAATATTTTAGGGTTTGTGGGCCACATATGGTCTCTGTCTCAAATTCCTTTTTATTTTTACATTTTTTAAAAAGGTGAAAACAATGGTTAGTTTGTAGATCATACAAAACCAGGCTGCAGGCCAGATCTGCCTGCAGGCCCTATACAGTTTGCTGACCTTTGGTTCAAACCTCAGTAGCCCCTGCAGCATTGGCACACAATTTACCGCTCCTGAACTAGGAAGCAAAATACTTCTAAATGCCATTTTGGTTCAAGTGTCTTGACACGACTTGGTAATGAGTTCAGGTAGAGTTAGGAATGGGAAGAGGGTCTTGGTGCCCACTGTCTGTCACATAATAGGCACTGAATTAAATGTAATCGTTAGTATTTCTTGGTAAAGGTAACTTACCAAAATGATACAGCTGTCCAAATGTCTTTGCTCAGATGTCCCAGTTCATCCTCAGAGACTGTTTTCCCTTCTTTTATCTCCTTCAGGAAAACTTTTTCTAATCTCCAGTCAAGTTTGAACTAGGTACTCTTCTTGGTATCACAGACCCTGTGTGGCCTTCCATTGTAACTACACTATGGGTCTGTCTTCCCTTCTAACCTTGAGTACTAAGAATGTGCCTGAGCCCCAGCTCCTAGCACAGTGCTCCACTCCTAGTGCTGATGGGGCCTCCTTACTTCTAGGTGAAATCCGTTTGAATGTGTAGGTGCTACCTATCTCCAGCAGCATCCAGGGTGGCCAGTCTAAGTGTTAGCCTTGTGCTGATGTACAGATATCCTCAATACTGGTTCTTCTATCAGTTGGAAAATTTTAGTTGATATACACCACACCTTACCTGGCAATGTTATTAGCGGGCCTATTTTTCATCCCATTCCCTCCAAAAATGAGTCAAAGACAGAGAAACAGGTAGGAACACGTTTTCTTAGAAACTGTTATGGAGGAACCCTCTGACCCCATCCCCACATTCTTTACTGTCTGATGTGCTACATGATTAGAGACCTCCAGCCTTAGCAACATCTGGCGGTCAGAGTGCCCACCATACAGCTGGGCCACAGACCAGTTTGATCCATGTCTACTGGGCAGAGCGGAAATTATCCTCCCGACAAAAATATGCACAAGGCCATGCAGGCCCAGGAAAGGCTGACAAAGGCAAGGTGAGTCGGGGTGTTCTAAGCTGAGATCTTTTGCCCATCTCACAGAAGCAGGCAGGAAACACCACCATTGATCAGCTTTATATGGCACCCACTATACACAACAGACAGACAAAGACAGAGAGACAGAGCACACACCACTTCTAAGCTGAACACTGCTCACCACCCAGAAGCACCTCGGATAAGCACGTGAGACACTCTTTGCATAGGAAAGATGTACTTTTTAAAGGAATGAAGAAGTATTTTGGTAAAACATCTACTTCTCTCTCAGGTCCTGGGTAGAGAGGGACCTCTAAACTCTGAAGCTTCTACATATTGAAAATTATCCCCTTCTCAATGGCAGTATATATACAGTAGCAAACCTTTGAAGCCTGTTGTCACAGCCCTCTATATGTATCCTGAATCTACTCTATAGGAGGGCAAACTTAGACTTAGAGCCAGAAGGTGGCCCAGGCGGCAAGGGGACACTGGGGCTGGCTCAAGGTGAGGGGAAACAGGAGGTATCTCGGCTCAGCCAAAGGCAGGGCCTCTGTCTCTCTGGAGCTGGGAGGGACAAGCCAAAATGCCCTCTTCCTTCCTGCCTGAGGAAGCAGCTGTCAGGAAAGAAAGGCAGGTTCCCACTCTTGCTGCCTCAGGGGCCCCTCTGGGTGGCAAAGGCCGGGCAGGCCAGAGCTCCTCTCAAGGCCTCTTCAGTGGTGCCCTGTGCATTTGGGGATTGCGGGCTCACTGCTTCCATAAGTTTCATTACCTGCATCTGAGCCTAGACCTCAAGTCCTTAATTATTTTAAAAAGGCAGGGTGGGGAGATGTTTTAAGAGAATATGAGACACAGAACAATCTTTCCACAGCCTCCCTCTGACTAGGCTGGGACTTTTAAAGGTCTCCTTCACCCTGTCTCCTGCGGATATTTAAAGGCAGCTTTTATAAGACTCTATACTGTCTTTTGTGTTTCTCTTGTGTGGTTTTGTTTAGTTTCTTCTTTGTGAATATATATACACACATATATAGATATATATGTATATATCTATATATATATATATTCTTAAAAAAGCAATAGTCCTTTGGTCCCTAAACTCTAAGGAATGATAAGATTTCAAAAGTAAATCTGGGCTTCCCTTACGGAGAAGCCCTTGGCACCCCCAGGGCCCTCTGCTGGTCCCCCTCGTCAGTGCACCCGCAGCCAGCCCCAGCTGCCCTGCCAGCCTGAGCTCTATGCCACAGGCGTAGAGCAACCCACTTGATGAAGACAATCCTTAAAAGTGGCCTGAGCCCGAGGCTCTGGCCTTGGGTCCAATCCACTTCTGTCTGCGGCTGCTCCTTCAAGAAGGGCTGCTTAAGTGCTTCTGTGCTTTTCCTCTCCTTTCTTCTCACTCTTCAGTATCTGTTGTTGGTATTAATTGATAAGGGGCGGGGGGGGGGAGGGAGGCAAAAATCAGTCTGGAGGGCGAGATAAGAGCAGCTTGCCCCATCAGCTACAGCTTAGGCAAGTGCCCGGGTCTCTCTTCCAGAGGAGCAGAGCTGTAGCAGGGCCAAGGCAGCAGCCTGATCCACTGAAGCCAGACCCTGGGTCTGAGGCAGATGACCCCAGCCTAGCACCCACCCCCGAAGGGCTCCCTGGGGTAGCTCAAGTGAGGCAGGGCCATGGGGACCTTCCGAGATAGTCTCTAAAAGTCACAGGCAGCTGGTCCTGACAAAAACCTAACAGAGCCTGTCATCTCCCTGTCCATCACCCACCAGGCCCTGCAGGTCCTGCTTCTTCAGCGTACTTGCCTCTCTCCTCATCTCCATGTTAATTGCCATTTCCCCACCCCTTACATTATGTTCCTTCTTTGCCTAAACTCTTCATGGTTCTCTATCATCTTCTCTACCAGCATAAAGTCCAAACTTGGCCTTCAAGGCCCTTTACATGCTGGCCCGAACCTACTTTCCTAGTCTCATTCTCCACCCCCCTGCCCTGTCCCAACATGAACTCTCCACTCCCGTGCCCCACTGTGGCTATCTCTGGAGTAGAAGTAACTGGTTGATCTTGCTGTTAATTGTCTTTCTCAGATGATGGGAACAGGAACATTGTCTAATTTATTTCAGTCCTTGGATTGAAGGAAAAACACAGTCTCCAACTAAGGATTCCTCCTAACTGCTGGCTCTTCTCTCCCAGACTTTTTCAGAGATGGGTACCCCAACATCCCAAAGAGAATATTAAAGCTGAGAGGGTCTCCATCATTCAGGCCCCATCTGCCAAGGGTCCACAAGGACTCACCTTTCTGTGGCTGGTCAGTGAGAGCAGATCAGTAAGGCCTGTTGGCATCCTTGGGCCTCTTTAGCTGGACCTTGAGCCTCTTCATGCCAATTTGAAAGCCATTCATGGCTTGAATAGCTGTCTGGGCACTGGTTGGATTGTCAAAGCTAACAAACCCTGGGGGTTTGGGCACAGGGGTTAGCTGGGAACTCTGCCCGGCAGGGCCTCCTTTGTCTTTGACCAGCCCCATCTTCTCTCTGCCCTCGGACCAGTTCCATCAAACACACACCCCATTGTTTGCACATACAGGTACATATACTCATACTTCATACTTACATGGGCAAACAGCCTGAATTTCATACAAATGTGATCCCTGGAAGGACAGGCAGCACTCCTCTTGGTTGGGGTGTTTCCCTGTCTTTTCCTAGCATGGGCTGACTCTCCCCCTCCACAGCTCCCACTCTGGTCCTCTGAACTGCAGTCGCAATTGGAAGGGATCCCTGGGTCCCAGCCCAATACCTCCTCTCCTGGCTAGACCCTAAAGCCTGACCTTATCAAACATCTTCCAGACACCTGTCCTTCCCAGATAAACCTGAACTAGACTTGTTCCTGGTCTGGGCTTAGCCTCATCACTGGTCTGTGACCGTGCTTTGTGCTGTATACTCAGCCTTTGGGAATCATTGACTTATGTGGGAACAATCTTAGGCTCTGTGAGAAATCCGATAGTTGCGAGTGGGAGAGGCCTAGGGATGGGGCTCAGCTTACCGAAACACTTGCTCTGGTTGGTGGCTCGATCCACAAATACTTTGGCAGAGACGACCGCCCCAAAGGGCAGAAATGTCTGTATGAGTTCTGCATCACCAAACTCCTGAGGCAGGTGATAGATGAAGAGGTTACAGCCTTCTGGGCCTGCAGGAACAGTAGTAGGCTGGTCCAGGGGAGGGGCTCTGAGTCCAGTCCCACCAGGCTCTGTTATCCAGCCCCATCCCTCACCTTCTCTTTGCTGCTGGGGCAGGGCTGAAGGCTGCTGGGGAAAAGCTGTGCTCATTGGGGTGTAGGCCGATGGATAGGCTGCTGGAGACAGAGGTGGGAGTGGGCAGTGAACTCCAGGAGCCGTCTCCCGAGAAGGGCACCATCTGTCCGGCCACCTCGACCAATTCAGCCCAGTCCACAGTAACTCTCACCCTTAGGTCATTCAGGGGTCGGGTTTGGGAGAGTAGACCCCTCAAAAGAGAGCATGCCCCACATTTCCCTACTCCTTTCTGGGACCCTTCAAACCGCCCCCTCCACCCAGGCAGCGTAGAGCCCAGTGAAACCTGCGTAGTGGTGCATCCCAGTGTAGGCCTGCTGCAGGGGGTCAGCCACGCCGGGGCTCTGGGCTGGGGAGAGAGACGTGCAAGGCCACAGTGAAGGCAGGCTGGCGGGCAGGGTCGAGTGAAAAGCAGCAGAGAAGGAGAGAAATCCCTTCCCGGGGAGTCCGCCCTGCCCTCCTCCCCGCTCCCCACTCCATTTCAGGGAGATTTTGGTGGAGTTGGGGGGCCCACCTGGATAAGGGGAGAGCCCGTTATTGTAGAGAGTGTCAGAGACTGGCTGCCCGTTGGTCTGGGGGGTCAAGGGGCCGAATCCATTGACTCCGATGGGCGCCGGGAGACCCGGGAGTGTGCCCTGGCTGCCTCCTGGAGGGGAGCTGGCTGCAGGTGGCGGAGGAGGTCGCAGACTTAGGCCACCGCCTCCCATACGCCCCTCCCCGCAGGGCCCAGCCCCCTGTTCTCTGTACCTGCTGCTGGCAGCAGCGGTGTGGCAACCAGGCTGAAGGCCGCCACGTGCTGCATCTGTGCGGCCACTGCGGCCACCTGGCCTAAACCCGGGCCCTGTGCCGCCGCCAGCAGGGCCGCCTGGTGCTGCAGGATCTTTGGGAGGGAAGAGGGAAGGATGTGGATGGCCCAGCAGCGGGCCGCTGTCCCTGCTTCGGACCTCCGGCAACGCCCCACCCACCAGTTCTCCAGAGGCCCTGCACCTACCGCAGTGGTGTATGCACCGCAGGCCCCAAGAGGCAACGGCGCGGGGTGGAAGGCGCCCAGCTGGCCTGCCATCTGCTGCATCCGACGCAGCGCGCGCTCCCGGTCCGTGTCTGCCAGCTTGACTACGAGGCTGGATGAGGCGCCCTGGGTAGGGCAGGGGAGGCCGCGGTGGCTGGTCCAGACCCCAGCCCTGGCCTTGGGCCGAGTGCCTCGCTCATCAGGCCCTTTCCTGGGTGGGGCACTGATCGCCTGTGGAGAGGAGGAGCCCGTCCCCACCCCACCGGCCTCACCCTGGGCCCGAGCCCGCCCTCACCGCCATGGTCCGGCTGCCGTGCAGACTCTGGATGGCCGCCTGAGCTTCCCCCTGACTCCCAAATTTTACAAAGGCACAGCCTGGATCAAGATAGAAGGATTGGGTCAAAGGGGCAAAAAGGTCCTGTGGCCTAGAGTGAGGCAGGATCACCAGGAAATCTCGAGATCGGCTTAAGTCACCTTTACTGGTACCATCCGGGCTCCGCAAGACGGTGCACTCCTCAATATGGCCAAAAGGCTGGAACAGGCGTCTGACGTCTTCCTCACCCTGCTGCTTCCCCAGCATCCCCACAAACAGCTTTCGGTCCTCTGGGGACAAACCCAGGAGTGACTTAGGGACCCTCTCCGACTCCTCAGAGTAGCCAGAGGAACCTAGGGAGGTAGCTGGCAACAGTTTAGCTTGGGGAGCTGCAGGGAGTGAGAAGGTTCTAGGCTACAAGGAGGGGTTTCTTTGTGGGGCAGGTTGACCTACAGACAGATCTGGAGGAAAGGAATTTGACCCAGATTTCCATCAGCAAACCCTGGGTCCTGGGAAAACTGAGGAAGTCTCACTGCTGCTCCTGTGAAAAGTGGTTTAGTTCGTATCTTTGGTTAGGTAGAACCCTGTATGCATCTTTTGTATGTTTGACCTTTCTGTCCTTAAAGTTTGAGAAAGGCTGGCTACTTTGGGCCATTTCAGCCCTGTTAAGTGAGGAAGGCCTCAGAGGAGGCCTTTGGGTCTGGGGAAGAGAAGTACACCTGTGAGGGTTAGCCTGATGGCCATGGATAGAATCAAGGTCCCTTCCTGCTCAAAATCAAGGAGGATTCTGGATCAAAACGCAGCACCAGAAGCAATAGTCTCATCATACATCCTCATCCCCAGACTCTGAAATGCTCTCCAACCCCAGCATCAAACTCAACTTGGGTGTCCCAAAAGACCTAAAGAGAGGGGGAAGCTTGGGTTCTTGCGTCTCCAGCATTAGCATCTTCCCTATTACACTTGCTGAACTCCTGACCCCATTCCTTACCTCCCACCTCCACCACCACCCTCCCTCACTGAGCTGCCAGGGCCCTCACTAAGCCTGCTGCCTCCTTTCTGACTCCCCCCATCCTCCTACCCTGATCCCTCTCTAGGGAGAACAAGTTCTGCCTGTTGACCTGGATGGCTAACTGAGAACAACTCTGATTCCTCCCTGTATCCACCCTTCCTCTGGGAGTGGCAAAAATGCCAGGAAAGGAACTGCAAGCTGGGCCTGTGTCCCCTGGAGAAAGTTGGAGAGCTGGGGCTGGAGACCAGGGCTTAGCTTCACATCCAGCAAGCCAGGCCTCAGGACTGCTATTTAGGAGCCTGGAGTAGAGGGGTTTAGTCCTCAGGGCCTTCTGTCAGAGCCCTGCTCCTTCCTGCACCAAGGTAAGTCTCTGAATTTAATATGGGGCTTTCTCCAGGTGATACAAGTTGAGAGAGAAGTGGGTGGGAATCTGGCTTCAGGCTCCACTTTCAAGGTCCTGGAGCTCAAGAAAACCCATCCCAAACTCCTTTACTTCTTGACAAGCTTGGCTAGGCTGATGGGTGTCCTTGGATCTTGTGTGCAAAAGAGGAAAGCTGGTGGAGGTCAAAAAGAAGAACGCACTGCCCAAAGTTAGCAGTGGAGGGAACCTCCAACTAGGCTATGGTATGGGGTCCAGCCTAGGCTTCCCTGAGGTTACCATCTAGGTATCCTGAGATGTCTGTCTGTCTGTCTCTCTGCCAATGCTGTGTCTGTGTGAAAGACAGGGGCTACAGTATATGTGGGATAGGAACAGTGTGTTTCAGCAGAATCTGCTCAGTGGATTACTGCCCAGTGATCCTGAAGGAAAAGAGATGTATAATGTACTTGTGGCCAGAATTCTAGAAAAAGTGCTAATCTTCTATGGTGAGAGTGCAATCTGGTAAGTGTGCTTCTGGGAGTGTGCCTCGGAACAGTGCCACTGGAACACACCGGCTCTCTAGCTTTTATTTTAAGAAGCTGTGGAATCCATTTTTCTGATAAAAAAAATATTAGGATGAAGTTCAAAATATAAGAGAAAAGCAAACACTACTCTGACTGAAGGTAGAAAAATATGTGTGTGTGCATACACACTGGAGTTGTTCTCCATTCATTCTCCCCTATTACCCCCTGGAGGCTCTCCAAGGACAGTTCTTTGAAAACCACTGACCTAAAAGAGAATAGAGTTCCAGTGGGTGTATGAAGAGGGACCTCTGATCTATTCAGGAACCTGAGAAAACAGGAAAGGTCTTTTGAATCTCTTGGCCAATATAATGATGCTGGCTTTGCCTTAACATAGGAGGACAGGTCTCACTTGGTCAGGGAATGAAACTCCAGAAGACTGTGCCACTGTTCTGAGCTGGGACACTTAAGTATGTCCATGTGGCTGCCAAAGGCCCAGAGGAACTGGAGTCCCAAGATTAAAGGGGCTTAATGATGCCCTAATTTATACCACACCTGTGTCATTGGGAAGGGTCTACAAGATGGTGATGGTACCTAGGTAAGATGTCATGCCACATGGAACAGCATCGTGGCAGCCATAGGTAGGAAAAGAGATGTCAAGGCTAAAGTAGAGTCCCCAAGATGGAAAAAGGGTTGTGTAGAAAGTATTCTGATCTTTCATCTGTTCTTCTTCTTGTTGATTTTTTTGAGGGTGGTTGTTAGTTCAAGGTGATGTCATAGATCATGAAATTCTATGATCCTTCTTTTCTAGTGAGAGTCTCCCAGGTTACACATTTTTCATTTCCTTTTTTAAAAAATATTTTATTTATTTATTTTTAGAAAGATGGGAAGGGAGAGAAACATCGATCAGCCTCTCACATGCCCCCAACCAGAGACCCAGCCCACAAACCCAGGCATGTGCCCCAACTAGGAATCAAACCGGTGACCTTTTAGTTTGTGAGACAATGCCTAACCCACTGAGCTTCACCAGTCAAGGTCAAATTTTCACTTTCATGACAACAAATGGACACTATGGTTCTGGGCTACTGGCTGCATAGAATTTGAAATTAAAATGAGGCTAGGGTATAGGCTGGGCTCTGTGCTGCCTGTTACCTGGGTATCACCTTGAATCCTGGTATCCTCTTTGCCATCTTTTAGGGACCTTAATGATGTTTGATAAGAAGATGATCTAAGTCACAGTGCCTTAGGTGACTCTGAAATGGTGGGATTCATGTCTTAAGAGAACTGGTGAAAGAGAAATACAGGCCAGACCTCTGAAAATAGCCCCCAAATCCACAATCCTCAAGATTTAGAGGGATAATCAATGCCCCCAGAGAGACATGATGATGTGATTTAGTCCAGATAATTCAATTTTTCTCCAAGTCCAACTGTAGCAGTGTGGTAAAAAAGAAGAATCTATAAGAGATAGGTCAGAAATATTTGAATAAAAATATTCCATGGGTGATGAGTGGGAATATCAAACAGCAAGGTTCAACCTTCCTGAAGTGGGAGGAGTTGAAAGATAGCATTAGTGTGAAATTGAGATGTAGTTGGAAAGACACACAACTGAATGGTATAATTGCATTTTCCTGTTGGCAACCAATTTATACTCCTTGCTCTTCTACCAAATGCTTTTTGAACCCAAACCAAGTTGTTTGGGCCCAAGAGGCCCATCTCCATGAAGATGCCTTGTGCAGCTGGTCAAGGATTCTAACACAGCAAATGATGGTGTTGAGACCCCAGAGTCAGTCCATTCCATCTTCTTCAAATGTTATTCAAGAAAAAAGGTCCTTCCTCAAGTTGTCCCAGAGAAATTCCTGAGGTGCTGGCTTCTAGGTCCCTTGCACCCATTCATCTCCATGTTGGTAGATCAAAGACTCAATATAAGTGCTAAAACTATAAAACCCTTAGAAGTAAACATAGGGGAAAAGCTTCATGGCCTTGAATTTGGCAACGATTTCTTGGATATGACACCAAAAACATAGGCAACGAAAATAAAAATAGATCAATTGGACAACAAAATTTTTTAAAAATTATGCATCAAAGGATAAAGTCAGAGTGAAAGGCAATCTACAAAATAGGAGAAAATATTTGCAAATCATATATTTGATAAGGGGTTTATATGCAGAATATATAGAAAGCTCCTACAACTCAGTCACAACAATAAACCAAATAATCTGACTTTAAAATAAACAAAAGACTTAAATAGAAATTTTTGCAAACAAGAGATACAAATGGCTAAGAAACATGAAAAAATGCTCAACAACACTAAGCATTAAGGAAATGCAAATCAAAATCACAATGACCTAGTAACTCACACCCATTGGGATGACTGCTATAAAAAACAAACAAACAAAAATAACTAGTGTTGTTGGGAAGGATATAGAGAAATTGGACCACTTCTGCACTGTTCGTGGGTTCGTGGGAATGTAAAATGATATAGCCACTATGGAAACCAGTATGATGGTTAAAAAAAAAAAAGAATTATCATGTGATCTAGCAATACAAGTTCTGAGCATATATCCAAAAGAATTGAAAACAGGGTCTCAAAGACATATTCGTGCGTTTATGTTTGCAGTAGCATTACCCAAAATAAGAAGCAACCTAAATGTATTGGGTTGATACAACCCAAACCAATGAATGCATAAACAAAATGTGGTTCATACATACAATGAAATATTATTCAGCCTTTTAAAGGAAGGAAATTCTGACACATGTAACAACATAGGTAAACACTGAGGACATTATAAGTGAAATAAGCCAGTTACAAAGATAAATACTGCATGATTCCACTTATATAAAGTATCCAGAGTAGTCAAACTAATAAAAACAGAAAGTGGAATGAGTGGTACCAGGAAACTGAGGGAGGATGAATAGAAGGTTATTGTTTGATGGGTACAAAGTTTGTTTTGTGATATGAAAAAGTTTTGGAGATTGGTTGCACACAATGTTAATATAGTTAATGCTACAGAACTGTACACTAAAAAATGGTAAAGATAGTAAGATTTGTTGTCTCTGTTTTACCACAATTTTTTTAAAAAAGTAAAGTTAAGCAAGGCTTTAAGTGTAGTTGAAAACAGGGACTTAGACCAAGAAAGAACTGTCATCATCCTATTCCAGGAGAGACAGGAGGTGAGTAAGAAAGGTAAACCCAGCACGGCTTCTAGGTTCCATTTACAGAGACGAACCTTAGCCTCCCAAGATGCCTTTTACTTTTGTAGGCTGTATATTTGTATCTGAAGGGCTTGTAAGAGATTCAGCTATGCCTATGACCTAAAAGTGTTAAAACAATGAGCTTTGAGCGATCTGCTCTGAACCAAGCTAAAGGAAAGCACTTTTTTTTTTAATTTTAATTTTTGTTAAATCCTCACTCAAGGATATGTTTATATTGATTTGAGAGAGAGAGAGAGAAAGATGAAAGAAAAACATTAAATCCCACCTGAATGTACCCTCACCAGGGATCAAACCCACAACCTAGGTAGTGTTTTGACAAGGAATAGAATTGGCAACCTTTTAGTGTATGTGTTGATGCTCCAACCACCTGAGCCACCTGACAGGAGCAGGAATGCACTTCTTTTTACCTTTGGGGGTAGAATGCATTTCAGGAAAAGAAGCATTAACTTGAGTAAAGTCTTAAGCAGTACTGTGAAACTCATCCAGTCAGGTCTTAGTCAAAAGAATACTTAAAAAAAAAATTAAATAAGTATAAGGGTGTCAGACAGATATGAATGTCAACTGACTGACAGAACAGTAGCTGCTAAGGTCTATATTTGATTTCCATGAGAGGACATGACCCACTATTATGATATTCTAAAAATTCTAGCTCAAAATTTAACTTGAACTCAAAGTTTGGTTGTTAGAGACTGGGAAAAAATCTTAGAAAAAAATTTGGAAAAGATAGCTCACTTAGTTATAAAAAATATATATTTATTACTCAAAAATACAAGATGATATTTAAACAAGCTCTGTGAGTACAGGGAGAAATTATTTAAACAATTACAGGATAGTGATAGGAAAGGTGATACAAAAACAGATCATGAGATTTTGAGTTAAATTAAATTTCAAGATTAAAAAACAGATGCCTCACCTCAGAGAATGTTTAAAATTTTAGTTAAAAAATAAAGTAAAAGGAGTGCATGGATTGATTACTTAACCTATTTCTGTACCTTAAGAATCTTAGAAACAGAAATATTTGCTAAGTGAAAAAGTACAGCAAAGTTGGGGAACTGAACAAGCAGAGCAGTAACTATTGTGATTTATGACTTCATTAATTTAATGCTATGAAACTTGAAAGAGAGCAAAGAATATACAGGAGTTTGATGATTTTGCCTTAGGACTAAAAAATGCTTTTTCTTATAAGATTGGTACTTATAATTTAATTTTTTTTTTAGTGCTTCCATAGTAGAAACACTGTCAGTTAGGAAAAGTCAACCAGTCTTTATGCTGAAGAGCAAATAAAATAGACCTATTTAGTTACTATTGTTTGAGAGATTTGGAGATCTCTAACTCTGGCCTTATACAATTTGAGGTTAACATTTTGAAATATGTAAACCTTGAATTTTTATGCAGATCAACATTTTAATGTTTACATTCAAATAATCCAAATGCCAAGGGGAACGTTTTTGGCATTATACATGTTTACTGTAGAAATGGGTGCTGTTAGTATATTAGGAGATAATTTTATTTAGGAAAATTAGATGCATTACTTTAAAGAATATGCCCCAGGATGTAATATATAAGCATGGAGTTTGGAGTATATGAACAGCATAAATTTAGCTGCAGAATTTATTGGGAACTGGGTGGGATATATTAAAAGGGTGCTACAGTATAGTCCATGGGGACCTGGATGACCATCTGGCACTCCAAGTGCCACCAAGGCTGCCTGGGTAACTATGGAAGAAGAGGACCCAGCACCTTTTATTAGGCAAATCCTGTTGTGTTGCTACTATTACTGCATTGTAAGCGTGAAATGAGCATGTCACCGATGACTTCTAAAAGTAATGCAATTACAATGTGCTTAAAATACAGGTTATTTCAACCACAAACCTCATGTCTATTCACTAAAAATAAGAGAAACACTACTCTGTTGAATTGGCATCAAAATTCAAGAGACAGAATGCTAAAGTAACCATTTTTGTCTAAAAACATATGTGTGTATAATAGAATACTACTGTGTGGCAGATGGAAGAAAAATGGAAGCCTTTGAGTCAAAGAAGCAAACCTGAAAGGCTTGGCTAGACTCTCATAGTGCCAGTCCACTTAAAAAATTGAGTTAGTTGCCAATGTTTAATATAATTAAAATATAAACTTTCATTAAATCATGATGATCTTTCCCATTTAGGGTTACTTACTTGACTCCTGTAACATTTGAGTTCATGACCCTGTTTTACAGGAAGAAAACCCTAATAATCCCTTCTAGAAGAAGACAGCAGAATTTTGGAAGGTTATATTTGCCTTGGTACTCTTTGGGTTATGTCTGTTTTAATACCAGTATTCTTATCAGATATATAAATCATTATTATTCAACTGTAAACTAAGGACTTTAATTTCAGGAATATTAAAAAGTATGTAGGTGCATAGGCTCCAATATATCAGGACAGCTGTGGCCACTAACTCTGAAGGTTTATAGAATGTTTGGAATCACAGAGACAAGACTTGAATGGCAAAAGTTGTCCCACACTGGTGTGAAATGTTATATTTCAAAAGCAAAATTCAATACCATTTTAAAAGTTGGGTTTCTAAAGCATTAATTTTTGTTAAAATTCAGCATAGAACTGAACTCACTTTAGAAGAGATATATGGTAACATTGGAGAAAAGGAACACATTTTGATTAGTAACAATATTATCTAACACAGATCAGTTGGCAGTAAAATACTTATAAATTGTAAAGACCCAAGACTTAGTACATATGCCTCCCCTCTCTTAAATATGTAGCAGGAAACACTTGGAGACTCAAAGTGGGTGCAGAAAGGAATCGAGAGATCTTGTTATTTGAACCTGCAAGAAGAATTATCCATGATGCATCTGAAGTATATGCTCCTTGAGACCCAACACTTGTCAAGAAATACCTGTGTAATACGCAACCACTGAAATTATGAATTCTACTGCCATGAAAAGAGGCAAATCTCTTTTCAGCCAGATGTGCTTTTCTTGCTCTCTTGAGCTGCTTTGAATATAAACAGGTATTGAGATGGGGTGCCACACGCGCAGACTTTGTCAATGTTGTGACACCTGAAAAACCTGATCAAAAAGGAAGAAAAATGATAAAATTCAGGCTGATGCCACTAGTTGGGGCCAGTGACCAGGACACATGTGCCAGACAAGCAGAAGCGTTATCAATCAGCATAGAGGCTTCCTTTGTGAATCTGCCCTCCCTTTGGATAAGCTGTGTTAGACTCCAAACAACAGGAGAGCCTCCAGCACTGTAGATGTAGTTCCTGAACCAGATTCTAAGTTGCATCATGTTCTTTTGAGCTCTGTACATGCTATTCTCTTTGCCTGAAATACTTGTTCTTCCCTCCTCCTTTTTCTATTGACTACTTCTTGTTCATCCTTGAGATTTTAGCTTAAATATTTCTCCTTCTGGTAGTCCACCTTGATCTCCCAGACTAAACTAGTCACCCTTTGTTTGTGTACCCAGGACTTGAAAAGCATTGATCACATTGAATTGTAACCCCTTGTTTACTTGTCTGTATCCTTGCATCATTCCAGAGCTCCATGAGGCCAAGTGCCAGGTCTGCTTTGCTCACACCTTTATTTCTAATGTGGTGTACATTACTCAGAAGATGTTGGTTGGATGGTTGAATAAGTTGAATCCCAATCTGTCTGCTTCTTAGCTCACTCTGGTACTCTAAGGTAGCCTCTCGGCTATTGGGACTGTCTAGTGTTTGTGGGCAGGGCACAGAAAATGGCTAAAAATGGCCTTGATGCCTAACACAGATTCGAGCAGAAATTCTTGGGACAAGTAAACCAGGGCTTTGGTATGCAGTCTGGAACTTTTCAAACACCTTTCTGAAAAGAATGAGATGAGAAAGGAGGATATATGTGTGGAGAGAAGGGAGGAAGCTTGGAAATATCTCTTCAAGGCAAAGAAGGTGTGATAACATCTTGACAGAAAACTGAGAATGAAGACCAGAGATCAGATCATCTTAAAGGATGAAAGAAGGATTTCTTGGAAGAACTAACTCACAATGGAACCATGGAGCTACTAGGGCTCCTTGTATTAAGCATGAAGTCTGAGAGGGTGTGCAGAGGCAGGAGGGGTCAATAAATGTTTATCCATTCTCTCCCTGACTTTTGGCAGCTTCTTTCACCTAACAAAGCCATAGCTGATCTTGGGTAAGGTAAGCAGAGTCTATCTAAGGGAGAGTCAGCAGACATTAGGGAGGGCTACAGGTAGGCATAAGGCCCAAGGGCAAGAAAGACACCAAGAACTGGCACCAGATGCTAGCATTGCTTTTCTAGCACGGAAGCTGACCAGAATGAAGCTGGTTGTCAAAAAGCACAAGCTCTCAACCCCTCCTGTCCTTAAGAAGCATTGGCCTTTGTACACCAGGAAGCAGTGCAGCTAAAAAAAACTTTCAAATTCATTCCATGATCTTTAGCATCAAGTCAAATTTCTTAATATGGCTACAAAGTCTGTTATACCAGACTCTTCTATAACCATAAATAGCCAGGCAATTGCAATGAAGGCATGCGTGGCCCCAACCTAGAGTGATCAAGGTTCTCTGCAATCAGAAGAATCTGGAAAAAAGAATAACTTCAACCTTTTTCTTCAAACAATGAAGAACATGGGAAAACAGGAATGAATTCTCTTCATAGGCAAGGTAACAGGAGCTCCCTTCCGCTATCTCCAGCATCTGCTTAGGCTTTTCCTGCCTCTTTTGAGTATAGGGATCCTGGGACCTCATCCTTCTTAGTCAGCTGGTATGGCTTAGCTGTTTCTGATACTAAGTAACTCTGGACCCCAATTCTAGATCCCTGACCCAAGGAGGTTCTAGTAATAAACCATGAATAGGACTGACTCCAGGAGTGACCCACCATCCCCTACATGGGTGATACCCTGAGGTTTGTCAGGCAGGGAAGTTACCTCCTCGGCCCTCACTGGCAGCCGGCTTCACTTGGATTGGACGATTCATCTGAAAAACATTGGACCAATACACCCAGTCAGCATGACTGCCTGCCCCTCAGGCCTCTGACTTCTCCATCTTTGGACCACTCAGGATCTAAACTCTGGCTCTTTTGAACTCTGTACTCCATCCCTCTCATATCGGGTTTATAGATTTTCACAGATTCCTTCCTTAAACATAGGAATTTAGAAGGTGCTGAAGCCTAAAGGTTGGGTGATAGAAAGTTCAGTGGCAAGAACAAGACACTGTGGAGGCTATGAGATTCTCTTGTTTTGGGCTCTGGGCAGGGACCACATGAAGCCTGTCCCTCTGGCTCCTGGACATCATTAAGGGCTTTGAGTGGGAGAGTAGAATTTATATTGCAACTTTGTAGTTTGTGCTCAGATGGGATATAATTCTGTGTTATTTAGATTAAACAATCCAGGAATCAGACTCAGGGCTATCTATCCCCAACTCTGCCATTTAATGGTTGTATGACCTCCATCAAGCCACCCTCTCTTATTCAACTTGTTGAATGGGGAAAACCTTCCCCAAGCTCTGTGTCTCCATAGTTTCCACCCCACAGTCCCCTCCCTGGGTCCCCTTCTCCTGGGGATATTGGAGTTCTCCAGGCCATCATCCTCAGCCCTGATCATTCTGCTACTCTCATTCTTCCTAGATAATCTCATGTACACCTACAGCCTCAGCTGCTGTCCCCACAGGGATGACTCAGAGCTCTGCACATCCAGCCCACCTCCCTTTTGAGCTTAAGACCCATGTGTACAGCTGCTTGCTGAACGTCCCCACTAGAAAGTCCCACTAGCACCTTCCATTTGACACACCCAAACCAGAGTTCACCTTTTCACCCAACCCTGATTCTTCTAGTCATCTAAGCTATAAACTTGAATAACAGCTCGATTCCTTCTTTCATCCCATCCTCCACCAACTAATTTACCTTCCAATTCAGGGTTTCCCTAATCAGTGGTGGATAAGAACCATCTGGGGAGCATATGACACTCTCAAACTGCGGGAGTTGTATAATTTGTAAAAGCTCCTAGGTGATGTAAATATACAGTGTGGAGCAAAAGTAGGTTTACAGTTGAGAGTATGTAAAGCACAGAGTTTATTCTTGTACTCTTATTTATTAGTTATTGTATTACTTATTTGCATTACAATTGTAAACCTACTTTTGCCCTACCCTGCACACCCCACATATCTCCATCCCCCAACCACCTGAGAAAATTCATGATTGAATCCCCATCTCACCTTCCTCTCATGGGTGTTGTGGGGATCACATGAGATAATGGGGACGCAAAAGGTCTTTGTAAACTGCTAAGGGCTGGGTGCGTAGGATCTGAGGAGTTATTGTTGGGGACAGAGTTGAGTGCCAGGAGGAAAAAACAGCAGCCTTCCTGGTCATGGAAAAGGGGTACTGATGCCCATCTGGCCTGAGAAGGTGATGATCTAACCTCCTCCCCTTAGAAAATGCACTGTTTCTGCATCAATCAGGGGTCACTCCATCCTCTACCAATGTGGTCGTTGCCGAGACAACAAGCAGCTTCCTGTTACCATAGGCACAAGTGCTACCCAGTAACCATGGCAACGCCCTGGCAGTCACAGTTGAGCAATTTCCTTTGGATCAAATTCGGGGCTGAGGAGTGGGGAGGGCTTATTTAAAAAAAAAATAAATAAATAAAAGGAAAGGAAAACAGGCCAAACCTGAACTAGTGCAATTTTTTTCCCACCTAAGGCTCAGGTTCTTATCTGCTCTGACACACCCACCCACTGGTGGTGGAGTATCCACAATGTACCAGTCTGTGGGTGGGGGCTGAGACACTGGCAGGACTCAAGCCACAGTCTAGAGAGGGATTGAGAGGTCAATCTAAGATCAGGGTGAGCTGGACTGGTCTGGATTGGCCTGGACCAGGAACCAGGGAAAAAGGACCCCTCCCTGGGTCTGGCTACCTGTAACTGAGGAGGAGAGACTGAGAGATAGAGCCACGAAGATCAGAGACAAAGGGCAAGATGAAGAGACATGGGAAGACAGAAATGATGAGAAAGAGTAAGAGACAGACCTAGGAAGGGGCAAGGAGAGAGAAATCCTGGTGGAGATGGGATGAAAACAAGGGAATAATGGGGTCATGTATGAAAGACAGGGTGGAGAATGGTGGGAGAAAAGGAAAGAGGAGTAGCTTGGAGTTGGGAGCAATGAGGGTGAGGAAGACCATCATTATTTTGTTAGTTCTTAAATAAATCCTGAGAATTTCTCTCTGGAGCTTAGGGTGAAGGGCACATGTGACAGCAATGATTTCCACCACGGCTGCCTCCCTGGCTGGGATTCTGTGAAGACACCCTCCCCCCACTCCCCCACCCTACCACTCTATTGGAGAGTGGACATTAGTTAGTATGCACATGTCTCACATGGACCTGGCAGAGTCGGGAAGTCAGAGGCTGGGCATCTAGCCTTTCCAGCACTTGGGCATGCTGCCAGCATTTCCTGAACTCTGTGAAGATCCCTCAGCTGGGCCCTTCAGGGGAGACATGGATGATGATGAGAACCCTGTCCTTGAAGTCTCAGAGGGGAAGATAATGCCACCATTTGCTGAGAGCCTAGTATGTGCCAGGCTCTTCCAGGGACACTTTACATACATTGTCTTGAATTTTTTTCCAACTACTCCACCAGGTAATACCCTTGTCCCCATATTATTTAAAAAAGAAAGAAAGAAAGCTGAGGCTGAGGGAAAATAATCACTTGTCCAGGGTCACGTAGTGGCTCAGTGGTTGAATTGGAATTTGCCCCCAGTTCTGCCTGACACTGAAGTCTGTGATTTTTGTTTGTGTTGCTTGACTCTGTTCTTAAGTCATGAACACAAGTAATGGGGCACAGAGGGACCAAAGCCTTAGGAGGAGTGCAAGGTAATGTGCTCTGGAAAAGCTGACTCCAGGGGGAAAGATTGACTCAGGGAAAGCTTCATGGAGGAGGCAGACTTGCTGTGGGGGGGGGGTCATTTGCAGGACTAGAGTCATTGAATCTTGTGGAGATAATGGAAAAAGAGGTAGGGCTGGGAGCTGAGCACCCCAGATGCCTTGTCCGAATAAGGAGCAAGGGTTGTGGCAGGCACCTGGCATGGGGGTAGCCAGGGTAGAACAAATTACTTCTGAGTCAGATAGATGTGGATTTAAATTCTGGCTACATCACTGGCAACTCTAAGGTTTCTGAGACTCTGTACCCACTTTGGTAAAAAGGAGAATCAGATCTTGGTATGTGTACCAGATATAATATGGGGTCTTTTTTTTTAATGGAAGGATATTAAACAAAGGCAGGGGGCGGGTTATAAAAACCAAACCATGATAAAGATTTTGACTTTGTTGTATTTCAAGGCAATAAGAATCCAGGGAAGAATTTTAAGTAGGAGAATAGTCTTATGAAAGAGCCCAACAACTGTCACCATGCAGAGAAAAGATTGGAAAGGGGAAGATTAGAAACAGTGACACAGGTAAGGGGTAAAAGTGACCTGGAGCAGGGCAGAAGGAAATAGACAGCTTCAACATGTGTTTAGGAAGAATGAACTGGTCTAAAGTTCTAGTGGTTGTGGGGACTGAGGGAGAGGAGGGAATGTTGACTGATTTACAGGTTTATGGCTTAGGTGTTGGGGAAGTTGGAAGTTTGGGAGTCTGGAGATGGAGGGTAAGTTCACAGGGGAGGAGCCCAAGAGGATGAGGATGGAATTGAGCTCTGGGCCTTCAGTTTCCACTGGAAAGCGGTTAGGGAGGACACTTGGACTTAGGTATATTCTGTGTGTCTTACACAGAGCTGCTTGGGCAACCCTACCCTCTGTTGTTCCTGCCACAGCCAGGGGACAGACGTGGGAGTGGGGTGAAGTATCAGTGTTCTCCTTTGGAGAAAAGAAGGCATTGTCTCCTTGGCCAAGAACTTGTCATGGGTTCTCAGGTGACCTCTTGCCTTAGTTGAGCACCTATTCCCTCGAAAGTTTCCTAGGTGGAGTCCAGGCTCATGTCTCCTTCAGAGCCCAGCCCTGGAGGGGAAATCAAGAGAGAGAAGGTCAGAGAAAGGAACAAGCTATTCCGGGCAGTAGAGTGGAGAAGGTTGGAGGCAGCACAGATACACTCAAAGTCCTGGTCCTTCTGCCTCCATCAGCAAAAGGAAGGCGAGACCCTACCCCTTCTCCCTTTGGCCTAGCTAAAATTCTTGCATTTAAGCTCAGCACTTCCCCCTTCAGACTCTTACATCCTAATGACAACCCTTCCTTCCACTCAGCACTCATGCCCTCAGCCCCTTCCCCCACCATGGGAAGAGTGTTTATCAGAACGATTCCAAAGTAGGGACTACTGATGAGTCTAAGAGAGGTGTCGTGGATGCAGAGAAGAATGAAGCAGATAGAAAGTAAAATTCATTTTCAGCACTTTGTTTTACCTCACCCCCTCCTCTAATTCAATCTACTGCCAAGTCCCATTGTTTCTAGAATCTATATAGACATCCTCATGGGCATCATCTTCTCCCCATTCCTGTCCTATTTCCAGCTCTAAATCAGTGTCATCATTGATCTGCACTAAAGGAACAGTGTTTTAAGGGTCATCTTGCCTCCAGTGTTACTTCCTCTCCAACCCAACCTTCACACTGTGGCCTGAGTGATCATATCTGCCAATGGTTTTCATTGCAAGCCTCCCAGTAAAGCCCAAGATCTTAATAGCAAGACTTGAGTTCTGCCTTCCCTGTTGCCCCACAACACAACACTCTCTATTCACAAAGAGCCTTAGCTGTCCCCAGAATTCCAGAAATGCTCTTTGTCTTTTAAGTTTCTAGACCCTTTGTCATCATCATCATATGATGACATATGATCATGATTGAGCTCTGATAGCATGTCCTTCATGAAGCTTCTCTTCCCCCTTCACTCCTGATGCTGCTTTTACACACTCAGATGAAAACCCCACTGATATGCAATGAGTTATTTCTGCGCTGGAAACTCCTTGAGGGTGAAGGCTCTGACTCGCTCACTGGATGGCTGCTAGCACATGAATACTTTTGTGTGAGTTAGAAAAACTGTGCCCCATCCTCTGGCTTGATGCATTCCTGCACTAATGTTCATGGCTTGGTAAATAGAGTATGGTTGGATTTTAGCCCCTACTTCCCTTTTCCACTCAAGCTGTTTTGTGTAGGGTACAACCTACAGAAGCAAGTATACACAGTTATGTCTGTCTCTTTCACAGTGTTTGAAGGGGTGGATACCCAAGAGAAAGAAGTTTTAAAAAAATGTTTTATTTCTTTTTTTTTTAATTTTTAGAGAGAGGAGAAGGGAATGAGAAAAAGAGGGAGAGAAACATCAATATGTGGTTGCCTCTCAAATGGCCCCCACTGGAGGCTGGGCCCGCAACCCAGGTATATGCCCTGACTGGAAATTGAACCGTGACCCTTTGTTTCACAGCCTGTGCTCAATCCACTGAGCTACACAGGCCAGGGCGAGAAAGGAGGTTTTAAGAAAGGAGAGAGATAAGAGGGCACCTTCTGAAGATGGGGCTGAGGTTGGGCTTCACTTTCTTCAGGGTACATTCTGGAGCCTAAATTGAGGCTGAAAGAAGTGGTTCCAGCTTCATGGGGAAGAAGCTGCAGAAGATGGGACAAACCACTGAAAGCTGAAGAAAGTCTTGAGTAGGGAGCCAAGCTTTGATAGGGGCAGATGGAAAGGAACCAAGGGGAGGTCCCAGTCCAGCAGTTACCATGAAAGTTCTCCTAGGGGTTGAGGCTTTCTCTTTGGAGTTGACCCAACATTTCCCGGACTCCCAATGATAGTCCTGCCTGTCTCCTGGAGCCCAGATTCATCTTATTCCCGCTTCTCCAGCAGCTGGTAGCTGTGCCCAAGACTCAGTGCTTGCAGAGAGCTGGACACCCACCTCCCTCCATGCTGGTGGGCATGAGGCCAGGTGACTAAAGCTGCTGCTGCCCCTGGCAGGCCCAGAGGAAAGATTGATGGCAAGGACATTGCTGGGGCTGGCCAACAGTCATTGATTTTCATTTAGGAGAATTAAATATTAATTTTCACTTTGTTAAACTGGGAAGGGTGAATAAAGCCAATCCTGGCAGTACCAGAGCAAGCCAGGCTATGTTGGAAGACTGCAGATGAAAGGGTGGGAGGGGACAGATGTATCTAGTCACCAACCCTTCCAGAACTTAAGAGCCCTGTCTGCTACCAGGTTGGCTCAGGTAACAGTGAATGAGTTCTAGAGCCAAACTACCTGGCCTCAGTGCCTAGATCTTCTTCCCTTTAGTAGCTACATGAACTTGGGCAAGTCACTTGTTTTCTATGACTCAGTTTCTTCATCTGTAAATGGGAATGGCAATAACAAAACCTTCTTCATAGAGGATTAAATGATTTTGAATATGTGAAGTTTTAGAATCCATAAATGTTTCTTCTTATTATTCCTCTTTTATATCTTAGAAATGATCCCAGTGGTCTAGGGCTTAAAACTCCTTATATCAGGCACCCTCAGCCTCATAGAATTCTCTAGGTACTCTATATCTGTGGAGCTCTGTGGTTGGTTGAAGAGGGGTTTTGTTCTCCCAAAGTTCATCTTAATTTTTTTCAGTGCCTTTTGTTTGCTTTCAGGATAAAGTCCAAACTCCTTAGCCTGGCATCTAGTTTCCTCTTCCACCACTGCCCTCTATGTATCTTCTCTCCAGCTTGACCCGTGCTCCAGCTCACACGGGCCCTTCCCACACTTCTCACTTCATTGTACACCCATCCCGTTCCTTCTGTCTCTGCACTTTTACCATGCTGTTTCTTATAAGAAATGTTACAGTTTGTCTCAGTGACAATTCTAACTTGACCAGCAGAAGTCATTTACTCCCGTGGTTGGATGAATAATGACTTCTACTCCTTCTATTATTAATACTAATGCTGTTAGTATTATTACTACTACCACCACCAGCTAACTATTGATTCACACAGTGCTTATTGTTTACCAATTACTGTGTGGAGCACACTTAATTATTATAACAGTCTATATTTTCAGTTTTACAGAGGAGGAAGCTTAGGCTTGAAGAGATAAAGACTTGCTCTGAGTCACAGAGTTAATGAGTGGTGGGGTCTGATCCACACCCAGATCTGTCTGACTCCAGCGCCTGCCTGTGTGCAGAGGATTGGGAGGGTGATAAGTTGGCATCACTTGACACTGAATCTTCAAGAGCTAGTTTCAAACTGCTTCAACTACTAGGATTGGTTCTAGGATCTGACACTCCATTTAACAGCTTGATCAGCTCTAGGCAAAGCTCATCCTATTGCTGGACATCTGTGATTCAAAGGGATGACTACCTTATACTGAGCTGAAATTAGTGTGTCTGTCCTTTTTACCCACTGATCCTGATCCTGCCCCCTGGGGCCACCCATGGAAAACCAAATTCTTCTTTAGAATCTGAATGTGGTTACCCCCACCCTGAACAGTAATGTTTATTGAGATCTTACTTTGTGACAGGCACTTGCTAAGCCTCAGTTAATCCTCATGATAGCATAGTGAGTTAAGTGTTAGTATAACCTACTCCTTAGAGATGAGAAATTGAAGTTCAAGAAGCTAATGTATCCAGGGTTACAGAATTGGTAAATGGCAGAGCTGGGATTCAAATCTAGGTCTGTGAGACTCAAAAACTAGTACTCTTAATGATTATGTTATGATGCCTTCCCATCAACCCCCCCCCCACTACACCTTATGAGGAAGGTTTTAGCCCTTCCAGCTAAATGTCTCCAATTTCTTCAAGCTATCATCTTGTGTATATTTTATGTCCCATCAGTTTCTTTATCATAGGCCAATGACCCTCTTAAATCTGAGGCTTGCAACTGGATATACTAAGTTTGGCCTGCCCAGGGAATTTCAGTAGTGCTTTTGTTCTAGACACGTCACTCCTTGGACAAGAGAAAATGAGGATAGGTAGTATGATTGGTTCTTGGTGAACTTATGCTAGGTTCCTAACAGTCACCACTTTCTTCCCGCCACATGGTCAGTAGATCCCGCTTTGTCTTTTGTTCTGTGATTAGCCTTTAATCAAGGCCATATTAGGTGCCATTAATCCATAGTGGTCTAGCTGCTTGTAGAATCAGCTCTCTCTTAACTTTAGCCAAGTGTTTGAGATGTAGAGGAAAGGCAATCTTGGTGAGCCAAGGCATCCCAAAAAACATTACAGGAAGAGAACCAGAGGAACGTGCTATCAAGGACCCTAGTAATGGAGAAAATGGGATACAAAGGCCAGCAGAGCCCCTAACTTGTGTATCTGCGTACATGCTCACACCAGTGAAAAATGACACCTGAAGCCATGATTTTAGCCAAGGTGGACAAATTGTATAGCCACACTTGGCCCAGGGGCCTGGAGCCCATTTCTTTGAGCCAGATGACTGCATATAATAAAGAACCTGTAGCTGTTCATGGCATAAGTAAACCTACAAAGATTATTCTACTGCTAGTTTCTGATTCCCATCCAGCTCCTACATGCTGCTTTATCATGCATGTAGGGCATGTTCCCAGCCTGAGGTGATGCCCACCCCCCAACACTGGTGGACTTACCCCTGGCAGGGTCTTCTGCTCGTGCAGTGCACTCTGGGCCTTGAGAGCAGAGTCCCGGGCGCAGTAGGTGAGGAAGGCACAGCCTGGGGAGGAAGAGGCTGGCTCAGGGAGTTTCCTGAAACTCCTGAATACCCTTCCTGGAAAGACCACATTAAGTTGACCAACTCAAGGCTACTGCTACCTTCTCTGAAGGAAGAGATGCCCATGTTTCAGGCTCTGACTCCTTTTCATTTGCTCTTGGCCTCCTACCTAGGGAACACATGTATTTACACCTAGTCACATGCTCATACAATCCCACATCTCTCCTCACCACTCCAGCTATAAATCCTGTTGGGATTAAACCTTCCTAAATTGCTTTGTCTTCATCATTAACCCCAGCCTTCTTCCTTTTTGGATTTATATTGACAGAGTCTCCCAGAATCAGCCTTGATTTTTTCTCAACTCACTTTCAGTGGGAGGAGGCATAAGAGGAGGAGGAGAGTTGAGATCCAAGCCCAGGACCCCCCACAATTTCTTAACACTTTCTTCCACTAAGTTTGAAGCTGATGAATGAGTTAATATGAGGCTTGGAAGATGAGGCTGGCTTAAAGGCCTTTTGCAGGTGGGAATTTCCAGTGACCTCCAGTCCTACCCAAGAAGCTTGATTGGTCAACTCTCTCAAGGCTTCAAAATAGGGCCTCTTGAAGGGTTATTGTGCCCCAAATCTGACTTCTTTATTTCAAAAAGAAAGATTTTATTTATCTTTAGAGAGAGGGGACTAGAGAGAGAAAGAGAGGGAGAGAACATCAATGTGTGGTTGCCTCTCATGCACCCCCTACTGGGCACTTGTCCTACAACCCAGACATGTGCCCTGACTGGAAATAGAACTGGGGATCCTTTGGTTCACAGGCTGGCCCTCAATCCACTGAGCCACACCAGCCAGGGCCCAAATCTGACTTCTTTTAAAAAGCCAGTATATATAGGGCAGAGGGGTCTGGATTGAACTGAAGGGTCAATCCTATACCTCTTTGTTCAGCCACAGAATCTGTAGCCTGCTATGAAGCACTGAGACAGAGATCTCTTTCTTTCCAACAGGCACTGAGCACTCCTTATTCAGAGAATATTTATTGATATTACTTACTTATTTTGGTGGGGTATTATGATGGGCTTGGGAATAAAGTGGCAACAAGATAAACACATTCTCTGCCCTCATGGGGATTATATAAAGGATCATAAGGGATATGCAACTGGGTCCCAGGAGTTGAGCAACGTCTTAAAGAGCATACTGAGTTCTCAGTAATAAATAGAGCTTAACCAAGTGACAAGGAGGGTGATGCTTATTTCAAGCAGAGGGAATAGCACATATTAAGACTCAGTCAAGAATTCAGCATGTTGGGCCCTGGCTGGTGTAGCTCAGTGGATTGAGTGCAGGCCTGTGAACCAAAGGACTGCCAGTTTGATTCCCAGTCAGGGCACATGCCTGGGTTGTGGGCCAGGTCCCCAGTAGGGGGTATGCAAGAGGCAACCACACACTGACATTTCTCTCCCTCTCTTTTTCCCTCCTGTCCCCTCTCCCTAAAAATAAATAAATAAAATATTTAAAAAATAAAAAGTAAATTTAGAAAAACAGTTCACTGTGTTGGGGATGGAAGGTTATTATGGCTGGAAATTGGTAATGGGAGCAGAGTAGCCAGTTAGATATGCAGGGATCAGGTCCTCTATAGCCTTGTACACCTCGGTGTGAATTTTGAACTTTTTCCTAAGAGCAGTAGAGAACCTCTGAAAGGTTTTAAGTAGAGATGCAATATAAGATCTGTTTCTAAAAAGAGCCTTTGAGTGTAGAAAGTAGGAAGACCGAAGGAAGAGAAAGTGAATGTGGGAAGGAGCTTGGCACAGTTTTCCAGTTAGACCTCAGTAGACTAGAAAGGCAAATGGGAACATATTCTCCTAGTACCTCTATGTCGATGACTTTTTAAGGTGGGTGGATAGCTGCCATCTGTTGAGTGAAAGGGACATTAGAAAACTCTTGGGAAAAACACTTATTGTATCAATAGGAAAACCTGAAGCTCAGAGAGTGTCAGTGGCAGAATAGGGCTGAGGTCTCTTAACTCCTAGATTGAGGTTGTTTTCAAAGCACTGTGGCTGCCTCCCTCTGTACCTAGCCACCCAAAGGAAAATTGAGTCACTCTGGCTTTCGGACATCACTGTTGTTAGGGAGAGGGTGGAGAAGATATTGACTTGGAGATCCTCCCTGATCATGTAAGGCAACACTGCTTTGGAGAGTGGGGAGTTGGTTTGGAGCTAAATCACCAAACATCTGGTTTTGCTTACGTATTTGCTCCCATCCTCTGCCACCATGCTGCATCAGCTAACACCAGAACTGGGCAGGGGCTGGGGTCCTCTCTCAAGGGTTCAGGGGCCCAGTTGATGCCTAAAGGAGCCTGTGTAGATTACTTGGGATGGGGGTGGAAGAATGGAGGGATGGAAAGACAGAGAAGCATGTAAAGACAGAGGAATGAAAAAACAGGAAGAATTAGAACTAAATGGAGGAAGAAGGATAAAGGAAATGAGGGAGGGGGGCATGAGGAAACAGTTCAGAGACTGATGGTGAGAAGAGTGGGGATTAAAGATATGCTACACACTTCCCTTATTGTAAAGATGGCCCAAAGAGATTAGCTTGTATTTACATACTAAAATAAATGTCTAGAAAATGAGAAAATAAATTTCTTTGGATGAATGAACAGCCAAGTGACTAGACTACTTCAGACCAAATGGTAGAAGATGCACTGTGACCTATTTGGTCCTAGATCTTCTATGAGCATTTATTTTTCTAAAGCCCCTACATTGATGTGCCTAGAAACTCCTCCAATACCTCCCAGTTGAAAAGATGTGGCATCCTGATTACAGCTCTCAGCCCCTAGAAAAGGACTTTTAGCTGTTACCCAGGGCCCACCACTTCTCTCCTAGAAAGATCATGGAGGAAGTAAGCCTGCCCCACTCCCAGCCAAATCTTGAAACTGCAGTATGGTGAAGGTAAGGAGAAATAAAGGTGTTTCTTCTCAAATAATTTCCTTCCCCCACCCATGTATGACATATGACTCTGGCTCTCTTACTCCAGCTAGCCTGGACAGACTTTTCTGCATGTAAACAAGCCTCCTCCCTCTCTCTACAGGAAGAAAGGGGTGTGGCTGGCCAGGACTATGGTGTCTCTGTCTCTCTAGCAATGGCAGGCAGAAGATCCCTTTCTGCCTCTTCAACCTGACCCACCCTAAGGCTTTGGTCCACAGGCCCTGGTTGAGGGGTTGCCTGTGAAGAAGTGAAAGTGAGAAGCCATAGGAGGTTGGGGATATTAGAAGCCCCAATCCAAGGTGAGGCATAAGATTGTGGATATTAGAAGATGAAAGAAATGTGGGTTCAGCTGAGGCGAAATCTGGGATGAGGGGGCACAAGGTGGTGGGAGTTTTGAGCTGAGGTCAGAGTTCTGAACTCAAATCAAAAGAGGCAGACAATGTTGGGATTCTGGCAGAGGGTGAGAGAGATTTAGTGTTAAATCTGAGGGTGGAATTTGGAGCTGAGAGCTTCCTGGGAAGGAAATTGGACCTTTGTGAGTTAATTAGGCCTGGGTTGGGAAGGGAGAGTTTGGATCTGTGACATTTTGGGTTGGCAGTCTGAGTCGAAAGAAGGCCCTGGAGATTGGCTGGGCTTGGGGGCCAGAATGAGGGGTGAGAGTCCAAGATATGTGTGTGGGTGGTTAGGCCTGAGTGGGGTGGCACAAGATGGGGATGTTCAGGAATTATTAGGTCTAGCATTTGGAAGATTGAGGGTGTTAGACACCTAGAAGGTGGAATAAGTTTCCGAATTTCAGGATTTGGATGTCTGATGGGAGGGATGGGGGGGGGAGGTCCAACTGAAAGGTGGGAACACTGGCATGTAAGAGATGAAGGGTAAGAAGTGGAGGTTAGAGTGCAGAACATGATAGGGGACCAGAGTGATGATGAGAGGGAGCATGTCAGAGGAAATTCTGGGTTGGGGGTCTGTGATCTTGGATGACACTGGGTTGAAGTGAGGCTGGTATCGGACTGGTGTTGGACTGGTAGGGCTAGGATTGGGGTTGCAGTTGAGGCTGGAGTTTGGGCTGAGCTGAACTCTAATCCAACTGGGGCTGGGTAAGGCTGGGCAGGGTTGGGCAGGGTTGGGTAGGGTTGGGCTGGGCTGGGCTGGGTTGACCCCGCGCACCTTTGTGGAGGCCGGTGAGCCGGTCCTTCAGCACCGTCAGTTCGTAGATGCGGCCGAACTCCTCGAACAGCGGCTTGAGGTCCTGCTCGTCCAAGCCCCGCGGGATCTGCCCCACGAAGAGCTTGATGGCGTCGTGGTCCTTCATGGGCACAGCAGGACCTGGGTTTAGCCCGCTCATGCTGACGCCGCTGTCCGCGGTGCTGAAACCCAGGCGTGGGCCAGGGCCGACGGGCGGCGCAGACCCTCCAGGGGCAGCAGCCATATCCCCCGCCCGGTCCGCCCTCCCCCAGTCCCACAGGTCCCGAAGGTCCTGCCGACCCCTCCCTGGACCAGTGGGCGAGGGCCAAGAAGAAGGGGGCGGGGCCCCGGCGGGGAGGGTGGGGGGGCTGCACAGAGGGCGGGGTCCCTGGTGGTGGGGAGTATAGAGGGTGGGGCAGACTAGAAAGGGGCGGGGCCGTGGGCGTGGCAGGCCCGGACAGAGCCGGCGGGACACTGGGGTCTGTCTTGAAGTCCCCGCGCAGCGCTTTCTGGGCTCCCTCCCGAGCCCTCCCAGAGCCGAGCCTTGAGCTCCAGACCCCGTGCTTGATGACGTCAGGGAGCTGGCCTTGGAGTCTACGCAAATAATTTGCATAATAAGGAAAAAGCGGCCAATCAGCGCTGGAGTTGACCGGGTTCTGCCGCGGGCGGAGGGGAGGCTGGGCTCACGCGCTCCTGCTCGCCATGGCAACCGGACCTTCGGATGCCCTGTGTGTGTCTAATGTGTGCGGGCGTGGCCGTGAATCGCGCGTGTGCGCCTTGGACCGCATGAGGGGAAGTAGCTTCGTCATACGTGGTGATGTCTGTGGGAGTCGTAGTTACCCCTTCCTCACACACAGGCACACACACCTCCAATCACAGAGGCTTTTCCTGCGGGGGTGAATGGGGTTCCCTCTTCATCCCCACTGCCAAAGCCAGTTCCTCTGAGCCATCCTACCCCAGCCCATCACACATCTCTCTCTTCAGTGTCTTCAACTATTTGCTAACGAACAAGCCTCATACTCGTTCTTTTTCCTCGCATTGCCCCCGTCCCTATCAACACACCCATTTTTTTTTTAAGAAAGAAAATAATAAAATAAAACAAAAACTGCAACACTCCTTGAACACGGATTCCTCCTCAGGAGAGTGAGGGAATTCATACTAGCCATACTTAACACATTTACCTAGTTCATCCCAATTCTGTGAACTCGGAGTGTTATCTACCTTTTCTGAACAAGGAAGCTAAGGACCTGAGAGTCAAGTAGGTGAGGATGGAGCCTGCCCATAATATCTGCTGGGCCCAGGGCAAGAGCAGAAATGGAAATAGAAAAACTGTGTGTCTGTATATCAAGTTAAAATTTGTTAAATAAAATGTTTTCCTCTTCTTTTCACAAATACACGTTCATAATAAAAATAAAAAATATATGTAAAGCTGTTTTTGTATGACTGAAAGTTGGCAAAATATCAGAACTAATGAAAATTTACTACTCTTGTTCATGTCTTAGTATTCTCTTCATGGGCCAGTGATGTTTGGGCAGAGGAATAATACAATAAAGATAAATAATTCATAAATCATATACTTATTTTATAAAATATTTGCTTGCCTTTTTTCAAGTAAAACTGCTATACCGTGTCCACTATTCTAAGAAACTTCTTTTTAAATATATTTTATCGATTATGCCATTACAATTGTCCCATTTTCTCCCCCTCATTAACCTCCACCCTGAACACCCACTCCCCCCTTTAGTTCATGTCCATGAGTCACAGGTTCTTTAGCTTCTATGTTTCCCATATTATTCTTGCCCTCCCCCTGTCTATTTTCTACCTACCATCTATGCTGTTTATTCTCTGTACCTTCTCTCCCCTTCTCCTCCTCCCACTCCCCTCTTGTTAACCCTCCTTGTGATCTCCATTTCTATGGTTCCGCTCCTGATCTAGTTGTCCACTTACTTTGCTTTTGTTTTAGGTGTGGTTGTTAATAACCACACCTAAAGTGAGTTTTCTGTCCTTTTACTTTTCACATTTTTTATCTTCTTTTTCTTAGAAAAGTCCCTTTAACATTTCATATAATAAGGGCTTGGTGGTGATGAACTCCTTGAACTTGACTTTATCTGAGAAATGATTTATCTGCCCTTCCATTCTAAATGAAATCTTTGCTAGATAGAGCAATTTTGGATGTAGGTCCTTGCCTTTCATGACTTGGAATACTTCTTTCCAGCCCCTTCTTGGCTGCAAGGTCTCTTTTGAGAAATCAGCTGACAGTCTGATGGGAACTCCTTTGTAGGTGACTATCTCCTTTTCTCTTGCTGCTTTTAAGATTCTCTCCTTATCTTTCACCTTGGCTAGTGTAATGATGATGTGCCTTGGTGTGTTCCTCCTTGGGTCCAACTCTCTGAGCTTCCTGGATTTCCTGGAAGTCTATTTCCTTTGCCAGATTGGGAAAGTTCTCCTTTACTATTTGTTCAAATAAGTTTTCCACTTGTTGCTCTTCCTCTTCCTTTTCTGGTAACCCTATAATTTGGATGTTGGAAAGTTTAAAGATGTCCTGGAGGTTCCTAAGCCTCTCCTCATTTTTTTTTGAATTCTTGCTTCTTCATTCTTTTCTGTTTGGTCATATCTTTCTTCCTTCTGGTCCACTTCCATTGATTTTAGTCCCAGATTTGTTTCCATCAGTATTGGTTCCCTGTGCAATTTGCTTCATTTCACTTAGTGTAGCCTTCATTTTTCCATCTAATTTGTGAGTAAAATCAACCAGTTCAGTGAGCATCCTGATCATCAGTGTTTTGAACTGTGCATCTGATAGGTTGGCTATCTCTTTGTTGCTTAGAAGTATTGGCTCTGGGGCTTTGTGCTGTTCCTCTGCTTGAGCCATGATGTTTTGGTCTATTTGCACCTGTTACGTATTAGGGGTGAAAGCCTAGGTGTTCACCAGGGCAGGGCAGCCCAGTAGCTGGGTTGTGATTGGGGGTGGGGTCAGAGAGGGAGCAGTGGTGTTTGTTTCACTCTCTGTATGATTTCAGTCCCCTCTGCTGCTTCCCACAAGCAAATTCCCTAAGAAACTTCTCAAGAGCAGCATTAGGTATTGGAGCCAACAAACTATTATTGCAGCAAAACTCAAATACAGAAATAAATTGTGATTTTTTCAAAGTTATTTATTTATTTATTTATTTATTTATTTATTTATTTATGTTTAGAGGTGGGGGACGGGAGGAAGAAAGAGAGGGAGAAAAACATCAAATGTGTGGTTGCCTCTCATATGGCCCCACTGGGGACCTGGCCCGTAACCAAGGCATGTGCTCTGACCAGGAATCAAACTGGCAACCTTTTGACTCTCAGCCCGCACTCAATCCACTGAGCTGCACCAGCCAGGGCATTAAAAAGTTATTTTAAAACTTTTAAGAAAGTTAGTTCTTATAATTATCTGCTTATGAAATGGGTTGCCAGGACATTTCACTTTCATTCAGTTCAATGTATTTTAAAATTTCTTTCGACCCACAGATTATTTATGAATGTATTTGTAGTTTAAAAATGTTTAGAGATTTTCCTGTTATCCTTCTGTTATTGACTTCTAGTTTGAGTCCAGTATGGTCATAGGACATATTCTGTATAATTTCAGTTATTTTAAATTTGTTTAGGTTTTTTGACCCTCAGGATATGAACTATCTTGATAAATGTTTTGTTGGTACTGGAAAAGAATGTATATTCTGCTGTGGAAAGGGGTATTCTATAAATACTGATTAGATCCTGTGGGTTGATGGTGTTGTTGAGTTCTTTATCCTTGTTGACTTTGTGTCTAGTTGTTTTGTCAACTGTTGATAGAGGTATTTTGAAGTCTGTAATTATGAATTTATAATTGTGCATTTATCTGTTTCTCCTTTCAGTTATATTAGTTTTTCACATATTTCTTAGCTGTTAATCAGTACATACTCATTTAGGATTGCTATGTCTTTTTTTTTATCATTGTATAATGTAACTCTGTGTTCTTGATAATCATCTTGCTCTGAGATCTACTTTTTCTGATATTAATATCGCCAGTCATGATTTCTTTTGGTTAATCTCTGCAAAGCATATTATTTTCATCTTTTTTATTTTCAACTTACCCAAACTGCTATATTTGAAGTGAGTTTCTGGTAGACAGCATACAATGGGTCATTATATAAAAATCAGGCCACCAATCTTTGTCTTTTAACTGATGTATTTAGATCATTTACGTTTAATGTAATTATCTAAGTGTTAGGGCTTTAAATCTGCCACTTTTACATTTTCTTTTTGTTCTCTCTGCTCTTCACATCTCTGTCGACTTACTTGTTTTTCATTTTAGGTACATAAAACATACATATCACCGTCTACTGGTGTTGATATTTTATCATTTCAAGTGAAGTGTAGAAAAGTTACCTACTTGTAACTCCATTTATCTTCCCTGATTTATAATATAATTGTCTTAAATATGTCCTTTGTATACATTGAGAACTAATTCAGAGAATGTTATAAAAACAATTTGGAAAACGTAGAGAAGGAATAAAACCTACAATATTTATCCATAGTTTTATTCTTTACATTGTCCTTTCCTCCCTCCAGAATAGTCCCAGATTCCATCTTTTATCATTTCCTTTACATTTTAAGAACTTCTGTGGTCATTCTTTTAAGGTAGTTCTGCTGATGACAAATTCTCTAAGTATTTCTTTACTTGAACATGTTAATTTCCCCTTCATTCCTGAAGAATATATTTTTTTTGCTAGACAGAATTCTTATCTGACTGTTGCTTTATTTCAGCATTTGAAAAATGCACTCCTTCTTTGTGGCCTTCATAGTTTCTGATAAGAAATCCCTCCTCTTTGGAGAAGGGTCTGTTATAATTTCTGGGAGTGCTGTGGACAGACAGCCTTTAGCTTTCAGCCCCTTCAGAAATTACCTCAATGTCATCCTTCCAAGAGTGGCCCACATGCAATGACTGATCAATATCCAATTATGAAGGACTATCTAAGCCCTAATCAGAATGATTCTGAAAGCCAGTATAGCTCCCTGTGGGGTCAGCTGTAGCTGTTTTTTTCCCCCCTGAATCAGGGCTCATCTTCTCCCTCTATCTATTCCTGCTTCCTCTCTCTCACTTTTGTAAGAATTGATTTCAAAGGCTCTCCTTAATAAACACCTTACCTGCTACACTTTGTCTAAGACAGAGCTTCCTAAGAAACCAAACCTGCAGTGTCTCATTCTTTCTAGACACTACAGAGATTCTGATTAGATATG